CATCTGCTCTGCTCTCTTATGGCTCCTGCGGGACGCGCCCGGCGCTCTGTCCGTGCGGGGACGGCCGAGAAGGCGCGGGGCTTTCCTGGGAGCTGCTTTTTCTGGAGCTGCTTTTTCTGGAGCTGCTTTTTCTGGAGCTGCTTTCCCTGGAGCTGCTTTTCCTGGAGCTGCTTTTTCTGGGGTTGCTTTCCCTTGAGCTGCTTTTCCTGGAGCTGCTTTTTCTGGGGTTGCTTTCCCCAAAGCTGCTTTTTCTGGGGTTGCTTTCTCTGGAGCTACTTTTTCTGGAGCTGCTTTCCCGGGAGCTGCTTTCTCTGGAGCTACTTTTTCTGGAGCTGTTTTCCCTGGAGCTGCTTTCCCCGGAGCTGCTTTTTCTGGAGTTGCTTTCCCTGGAGCTGCTTTTTCTGGAGCTGCTTTCCCTTGAGCTGCTTTTTCTGGGGCTGCTTTCCCCGGAGCTGCTTTTTCTGGAGTTGCTTTCCCCGGAGCTGCTTTCCCTGGAGCTGCTTTCCCTGGAGCTGCTTTTTCTGGAGCTGCTTTCCCCAAAGCTGCTTTTTCTGGGGTTGCTTTCCCCGGAGCTGCTTTTTCTGGAGCTGCTTTTTCTGGAGCTGCTTTCCCTTGAGCCGCTTTCCCCGGAGCTGCTTTCTCGGGGGCTGCTTTTTCTGGAGCTGCTTTCCCTTGAGCCGCTTTCCCCAGAGCTGTTTTCCCTGGAGCTGCCACCCCCAGAGCTCCGCGCTGAATCCAGGAAAGAGGAAAATGCCCCAAACGCTGGGATTTTGTGGGGTCCTGTGAGGAAACCCCCCGGGAATTCGCGAGCAGATGGAGGTAGGGGACAGAGGGGTCGGTGGGTGCTGGCGTGGGGTCCCCACTGTCCCCGCTCTGGGTGCGTTTGGTGATTTTTCTCTCCTCGTTCTGGGGGAGCAGCGTTTGGTCCCTGATTAAACCCAGCGGGGTTAAACGAGGCACCCCCGCGCCGGGATTTCCTATTTCTCGAGTTCTCCCCTTTGTGATCTTCGTGTTCTTTCAACATCGTCCTTTTGGTGTGGTTTTTCATTTAAGTGTTTTTAATTTGGGCGAGCTCCCTCCGGCTCATTCCCGCTCCTCTGGAGAAGACCTTTTCCCTTTTATTCGGGAGGAATGTTTTTAATCACCCGCATTCCTCAGCCCGCCTGAACTCTGAACCTTTCACAGGAAATCAGCATAAGATGGGAAACGCTTTTATAAAAGAGATGGTTCGTTAAAATAAAAAACCCCAAAAACACCACCCCGGCCTTAACTGTGGCTCAACCTCAGGCAGGGATGCAGGGAGGGATGCAGGAAAAAGCGGAGCTGGGATGTCCCTGGTTTGCTCCTCAATAATCTCCCTGCCCAGTTTCGTTTTCTTCTTATTTTATTTCCCTTTTATTTTATTTCCCCGTTGTTTTATTTCCCTCCTGTTTTATTCCCCCTTTGTTTTATTTCCCTCTTGTTTTATTTCCCTCTTATATAAGCCCAGCTCTGCTGACGGCTGATTTGCCTCTTCAAAAACAATCAGGAAATGCCAAAGCAAAGATTTTTGTGCTGCATTTTTTTAATTTTTTTTTTTTTTTTTGGGATGGCTGGCGGGTGTCCGCGGTGACTCCAGCGCAGCGCTGAATTCGCCCCCACGGGGTTTTAGCCCGTCCCGAGGGTGCTGCAGCACAAAGCGGAGCTCCCGGGCTGTCCCTCCCTCCCTCCGTGTCTGTCCCACCTCGTGGCTCAGCCCGTGGCCCCTCGGCGGCGTTCCCTGCTCCGTTCCGTGCCGGCAGCCTGGAAAATGCTGGTAACCCGTGCCGGGGCTGAGCACAGAGCGCTCATTCATCCCCGGCCGCGGCGTTCCCAGGGCGCTGCGGGGAGACTCCGTGTCACAACCTCCCCTTCCCATGGAGGAGCCACGGGATGGAGCCACGGGATGGTTTGTGCCATGGGATCCCGGCCCCGCGGCTCTCCCAGCCCTAAACTGTGATCCCCGTCCTAAACCATAAACCCCATCCTAAAGTGTTCATCTCGGTCCTAAACTGTGCTCTGGTCCCAAACTGTGATTCTGGTCCCAAATAGTGCATCCCGTTCTCAAATTGTGCATTCCAGTCCCAAATTTTGATCCCAGTCTTAAACTGTGCATCCTGGTCCCAAACTGTGATCCCAGTCCCAAACTGTGCATCCCGGTTCCAAATTGTGCTCTGGTCCCAAACTGCATCCTGCTCCCAAAACTGTGCTCCCGGTCCTAAACTGTGCTCCCAGTCCCAAATTGTGATCCCGGTCCCAAATTGTGATCCCGATCCCAAATTGTGACCCCGACTCAAACTGTGCTCCCAGTCCCAAATTTTGATCCCGGTCCCAAACTGCGCATCCCATTCCCAGCCCCTGCATCCCATTCCCAGCCAAGTGTCCTGGTGGCTTCTGAGTGTCCACTGGGCACCGGCCGGACCCGGGCTGGGTTGGGGACAGGGACAGACCCCCCGAGCCGCGGGGGCTCAGCTTTTGGCTGTTTTGGGGACAGGGACAGGGACAGACCCCCCGGAGCCGCGGGGAGCTCAGCTTTGGCTGTTTTGGGGCGGGGGGAAGGGGAGGAGCCGCGGGGGCTCAGTTTTTGGCTGTTTTGGGGCGGGGGGAAGGGGAGGAGCCGCGGGTTTGGCCGCCGGCCCCGGGATCATGTGGGAGCCCCGGGCTGCGGGAGGGGGTTGTTTACTGTAACTCCTGGCCCCGGGCCCGCCAGCAAACCCCAAATGAGTTCAGGCTGCACGGGGAGGTCCCAAACAGCTCCCGGGGGGCTTTGGGAGGGGGTCCCGAGCTGCTGGAGCATCCCCGAGGAGCTGCCGCGGGTGGGGGGCTCACGGCCGAGGGTCCCCTCATGGGGACAGCGGCTCTGCCCCGAGCTCGGGTTCCTCCCCCGGTGCCACCAGCCCTGTCCCACAGCGCCCTGGCACCCGCCGTGGGACGTTTTTTGTTTCCAAGCTCTGGAAAACCGCCCTGGCTTTGGTGGCCTCAGCCTGGCCGCTGTCGGGCKGGGACATCGGTGTCACCCGGGGCACGTCAGGCCAGGCCCCGCTCCCACGGAGCTTTTTCTCATCCTTTTGTCGCTAAAACCCCATCCCCAGCTGGGGTGGGCAGAGCTGGGGCTGTGACAGGAGCAGGGTCCGCKCAGCCTCTCATTCCCCGGCTGCGGAGCCTCTTGGCCCTGGGGATGCTCGGCAGCGTTTTCCTGGCTCGGGCCGAGCTCCGAGGAGTTGTTTTTCTGGCTGCTGCCCGTCCTCCCKCTCCCCCAGCACCCTCCATCCCTCCCTTCCGCGCTTCCGCCGCCCCGCAGTTTGTTTTTACAGAGGCTGAAACAAATGATGTCGAGAGAGATTCCCAGAGCCGCCGCCAGCGCTTCCCCCTCGGCTCTCTCTGCGCCGCCGGCTCCATCCCCCGCTCCTTCCCGGGGGTGTCCGGAGCAGCCTGGGGGTGTCCCCAAGCCCTTCCTACCCCTTTTTGTCCCCCGGAGCCTTTTCCACCCCTTTTTGCGCCCCCAATCCCTTTCCACCCCTTTTTTCCCGGGAAGGAGCAGCCCGGGCCGTGCCGAGCCATGGGGAGCTCAGACCAAGCTTTGGAGCCTCCCGTGGGCATTTTTAGGGAGCAGGGACAGCTCTTTGGGTGCCATCGGTGCCCGGGTGGGTTCTGTCCTCTCCCCCGGGACTCTCCGTTGCCAYCGGAGCGATGAACCCCTCGCGTGTGCGGCGGGACGGTGACATTCGGCCGGAGGGGACACGGGACCGGCCGCGTTCCCGGCGTCACGGGGAGGGATTTGGCCGGGCCGGAGCYGTCAGAAGTGCCCGATTGCCATCCCGAGACGTGGCGGTCACAGCCTGTCCTTGTCCGGCTGCCAGCGGCACCGGGAGGAGGGGACAGCCCCGATTGTCGCCGCATCTTCCGAAATCGCGGGTGCTCCAAAGACCCGAGGGTTTATTTTTGGGGAGCGCTGAAGCTCCGGAGCGGAGGCGGGRGCAGCATCCCAGGGTGGCGGTGTTGATCTCCCTGTGCTGGGGTGCAGCAATTAAAGACAATTAACCGGGGACAAATTAAATCGCAGTTATCAGGAGATGGAGAGGGGAGTGAACCCTGCGGTGGGGTTTCCTGGGAATGTCCACCCTGAGGGCGAGGGTGGAGCTGGAAATTCAGCAGAGCTTTGGGAGCGGGCGGGGGAAAATCCTCGCGGGCAGTGGGTGCTCCATGATGGGTGAAAATAGGAAAGATTTGGGTGCAAAATGGGCTATTTTGGGGCTGTTTAACCGGCACTGTTTTAGGTGTGTAACTGGCACTGTTTTGGGTGTGTAATGAGCCATTTCAGGTGTGTAACTGGGGCTATTTTGGGTGCATCATGGGCTATTTTGGGTGTATAACTGGCACTGTTTCGGTGTGTAACTGGGGCTATTTTGGTTGTATAAGGGACTATTTCAGATGTGTAACTGACACTGTTTCCGTGTGTAACTGACACTTTTTTGGGTGTGTTATGGGCCATTTCGGGTGTGTAATGGGGGCTGTTTTGGGTCTGTAACTGGCACTGTTTCGGTGTGTAACTGGCACTGGTTTGGGTGCATAATGGACTATTTTCGGTGTGTAACTGGCACTGGTTTGGGTGTATAAGGGACTATTTCAGGTGTGTAACTGTCATTGTTTCACTGTGTAACTGGGGCTATTTTGGGTGTATAAGAGACTATTTCAGGTGTGTAACTGGCACTGTTTAGTGTCCCCAGGCGCTCGGGGATTCACCCCTCAGGGCGGCTTTCACTCCGAGCCCATCCTGAACCGCGCTGTCTCCCAGGGGAGCAGCGCCCGCAGCACCCCGGGGTCCCTCCAGAGCTGTGTGATCCCCAGGAATCCTCTTCCCATCGGACGGGGGGGGACGCTCTGCAGACCGAGAACAGAGCACTGCAAATCCCCGTCGGTGCCAGACCGGGTCCCCGCCGCCGTTCCCGGTGACTGAACCGCGTCCCTTTGTGTCCCCGCAGCTGCCGTGACCCCGTGCACCTCCCCGCGGGTGCCCCAGGCCGTCCCCATGGACCTGCGCATCGGGCAGCGCGTGGTCAAACCCCAGGACACGGCTCTGCTGGCCCTGAAGCAGCAGCAGCTGCAGCACCAGCTCTTCCTGGCCAGCCTGCACCAGCAGCAAGTGGAGCAGCTCGCCCACCAGCACGTCAGGGTACGGACCGGGGCACTTTTGGGGCAAAATCGGGCACTTTGGAGGGTGAATTTTGCCCCCAGGGTATGCCAGAGTCCGGGTTGGCTTTCTTTGAGTTCAGGGATTCAGAGGAAGAGGYTGGAAATCCCAATGCCAAAATAACATTCCCAGGTGAATTCCTGCTTTTCCCTGAGCTGGAACATCTGGAGGGGTTTCCAGCCAGCCCGGGGACCTCTCTGACGCAAGGGAGGCAGGTCGGGAGCGGGGGGGTTGTGTCTGAATTCCCGGCCAAATTCCGGCCCTGCCAAGGCCGGCGGGAGGGCTGGAGCCTCCCGGGATGGCCGGGGAGGAGCAGGAGCGGAGCGGGATTGAGCGGGGATGGCTCGGCCGGGGAACTTCGGAGGGAGGGGGAGGAGAGGACACGCCCAGGGAGATGTGACAGTGCCCAGGGACGTGTGACAGGGTCCAGTGAGGTGTGACAGAGTCCAGGGAGGTGCGACAATGCCAGGGACGTGTGACAATGCCCAGGGAGATGTGGCAGGGTCCAGGGAGCTGCCACCATGCCCAGGGACGTGTGACAATGCCCAGGGAGCTGACAGGGTCCAGAGAGGTGGGACAGTGCCCAGGGAGGTGGGACAGTGCCCAGGGAGATGTGACAGTGCCCAGGGAGATGTGACAGGGTCCAGTGAGGTGTGACAGAGTCCAGTGAGGTGTGACAGAGTCCAGGGAGGTGTGACAGAGTCCAGGGAGGTGTGACAATGTCAGGGAGGTGTGGCAGTGCCCAGGGAGGTGTGACAGTGCCCAGGGAGATGCGACAATGCCAGGGACGTGTGACAATGCCCAGGGAGGTGTGACAATGCCGAGAGAGCTGCCACCATGCCCAGGGAGCTGCGACAATGCCCAGGGAGCTGTGACAATGTCCAGAACGTTGGCACCATCTGCAGTCACCGAGATCCCCCTGACCATCCCCAGTTCCACGGATCACCGGGGATTTTTCTCTCATCAGAGATTTTTTTTTCGTTTTCCCCCCATCTTTTACTCAACAAAGATTTTTGGTTTGGCTGCGTTGYGGCGCGGCCCAGATGTGTCCCAACAGCCCGGGAGGAGCAGGCAGCGAGTGGGAACAGACAGGTTTTGGGTTTTACGATGTCCCCGGGGAGAACAAAGCGTCCCTGGAGACCGAAACGCGTCGGGTTTTGTTGTGATGGCACAACTTCACACGTTCCCGAGTGACACACCCGAGTGTCCCAGATGTGCTCTGTCCCCGTGTCCCCGTGTCCCCTCGGGCCGGGGAGGGCTCAGAAAGCTCCGGTCGGGGCTGGAGGGTCCCGTGCCCATGTCCTTGTCCCACAGGTGGCCATGGAGTCCCCGCACCGCGAGGCTGAGCCGGGGCAGCAGGAGCAGGAGCTGCGGCAGATCCTCAACAAGGACAAGAGCAAGCGGAGTAAGGGCAGGGGGGCTTTGGGGAGGGGGCTCGGGGGGTCTGACCTTACCCAGACCGAGCTGGGG